CAGCTATCTGCATATTCGCGTGATCACAGGGATCAACTGTGCGACGTTTTATCGGGTAATATATCGTGTCATGTTCGCTATTAATGACTCTGACGAACTTGTACCAAAATTTCCTAGAAGCCATGAAGAAATAGAGGTTACTGCCGCTGGATTTAAGTCTTTGAGCAACCATGGTGTGATTGAGAAGTGTACTGAAGTTATCGATGGTGGGTTGTGTCCAATTAAAGTACCACGAAAGGATGAGTGTGGACGAGTCCTATCTTTTATCTCTAGTCACTATCGAAAGTATGGCCTTAATGTCCAAGCGTGCGCTGACCACCTCTCTCGATTTACTGCGTTTTCGATCAACTGACCTGGCGGAATGAATGACGCTTATGCATTTCGGTGTTGGAAGCTTAGTAATATTCTCCACGACACTGCAGGGAAGTACTTTGTGATCGGTGATAATGCGTACGTTCAAAGCAAGCACCTTTTGACTCCTTTTAACAAGGCGGACCTGGCGAATCGTCCAGACCGTGACAACTACAATATTCACGTTAGTCAACTCCTGATACGAATGGAAATGGCGTTTGGGCTACTATTGAACAAATGGAGGATACTCATACAGCCATTGCATGTTCGAGTTCGCCATTGTCGAGTGGTAGTAGCTGCTTGCATGCATCTTCATAATTTGTGCATTACGCAGCGAACTAAGACATCCGAAAAGACTTCGCTGCAAGTGCTGCAGTCCACGGGACAAGAAGTGGAATGGAGAAGATTCACTAAATTACGATGTATCTAAAGTTGAACTTGGTGGTGGCAACAGTGTCAATTTGATGGACGAAAAGGTTCGCACGGAGCTAGTCGAAAAGATTGCTAGCAAAAATCATCATCGTCCTAAGCTTAATGAACAAACAAGGCAAATGAAAGTCACCAAGTTGGAGAGCTTACTTATATGCAGCGAGAAGGTGAATCCAGATCTGGTGATGAGGAAACGACTGCCACAACATTAGATGGGCTTGGTATCGAATATCA